CTCTCCATCTATGCGTTGCACTCTTCGCCATCTTCGCACTCTTTCCCATCTTTTAATAACAAGGAGAGACTAAAAAATACGCGTTCCAAAGATAGAGTATTTTATGGAATGAGATTCCTGTTCGCACATTTTTCAACGAGTGCAACTCCCTGTCTACAATTTTCACCGGCACGAAGTCAATCGAAATATTAAAACGAATGGTCGGTGAGTGAACGTCGCAGGAAATGACTAATAGAAACGACGGCGATAACTCGATAAAGTTGTCTATTAAACGAAAAAAGGTAGTGGAATCGGAAAAATGGGATTGGAACGGAAGAAGGGAGTAAAAGGAAACGATGGTAAGAATAGAACGAGCCGCGAGCATTCGCTGCGACAGTAGTTGCAGTACGAGAAGAGTTGCTAATGATTCGCTAACGAGATACGTGCTCGGTCTGTTTCGTACGAAAACGGAAGAAAAAGCGACTGCCTTAGGAATAAGAGAGAAGGTTTCTTCCTCTCGAGACTCTCTACTTTCCCATTCTCCACCTTCACCGCCACTGACGAGCTTCATCTTTGTCTTTATCTCGTCTTCTTCCTTCCTCCCCTTCCCTTTTAACCCTTTGCCACCCATTCTCTTCTTATTTTTATCATACTCGCCGGAACTCTAAGAGTCCACCGTTATATCGTCGCATCTTAAATGCGTCGTTTCATCTGTTTGCCGTAGATTCGCTGTGGAGATCGTTCTTTGCGCGGGTCCCGTACACGATGAGAGAACCCGACACGCGACGACCACCATGCTCCAAGAAAAACCGCTCTTTTCACCCTTACTCCACGATTTACACATTCACCAGATATAACTGCCTGATGATAATAAGATATCCTCGACACAAAGTTGAAATACGACGTGGAAGAATAAATTACATTTCGCGGGGATCGCAACGCGTTTAAATGCAGGAAAGGAATCGCAAAAGAAGTCCAACTGGATTTGCTCAAAGCGTTCAGCGAGGATGCTCGAAAAAGAGAATTCTTAAATTCCGTGCTGGCACAAAAGGATTCGGTCAGGACAGTTAATCAGCTGCCTTATCAACGAATATATAACTTCGAACAAGTATTCGCGGAACAGAATGGAAACGTTATTCCCACTTTGATATTTCGTGTTACGTAGTTGGAGCGTACTTGCGACGGGAACGGCAAAACTCGAGCCGGAACGACACTCGAACCGTGTCGAATCGAGTCGATGTAAATGGGAAATATAGCGACGAGTGGCAGAACGACAGCCTTTGCCTACGCTAGTTTTCCCCGGATGCATCGACTTTTCTCTCGATCTGGACTAGTTTTATTTCCGACCGCTTTACCTCTGAACTCTTATTTACGTGTCGCCGGAAAAGCATTCTCGTGTCCCGACATCGGCGAGACCCTCGCTGACTCTGCGCCTACACAGATATTCCGATGCCTCGAGCCCCTTCGCCCGTGTTTCCATTAAAACCTTGCCAACCGAGAACCTTCGCGAATTTATCGAGCCGATCTTTGCCTGCGAATATTTATGAGTCGATCGGCCAACCGTGAAACGTGCCTCAAACTCGCACGACGCGATATCTGCCCCGTGAAATTATCCATGTTCCGATGCTCGATCTGTCCCAAAACATGGAACGTATAGCTCGACAGCTTTGGAAAAATCTGTAAGATGAGAAAACGCTCTCTTCTTCCGCCAGGCTTGGGCCTCGATTTTCCTTTCGGTTCCCTGGCTGTGGCATTTCTTGCGCTACTCCAGTTCAAACAGTGTAATATTCACCTGTAATATCCGTCTACTGCTAGTCGGAAAAATGATTACGAAATTTTCCTAATAAGACAACAGTCATCCCCGTTATTCTCAAATCATTCCTTGAAATCTTTGTTTAACTCGAGCTATATCGCTCCATCGCAAGACGAAAACCAATCGAACCGTATTGCACGTTAGAGCACGGAAGAAAACTTTTACGCGATAACGGCCGAACGAGAAATTCGAAGCTCTTCGCGGAATACCGCGAAGCTCGTAATTTTTTCCACGGAATCCGTGCCCGAGGAAATCGATGTAAATCGCTTGGCGCTTATATCCTCGGTATACGTATACCGTCTGATCCGCTGAGTTATTTCGCCGCAAGATATCGAGTCGTTGCATCCATGTAAACGTAACCGGTGCCCATTTCCATGTACAAGCGGCCCGTATGTACATTTAAATAAATAGATACGCAGAGTCGCAATCGGAACTCACGGAAACGAGCCCCGCGGTAATCTTTTCTCTTCTCGATTCGGCTGCGACACTTCGTTGCGGCGATGTATTCAGTTTTTCAAAATCTAGGTATGTTAAGATTGAAAATCTTTTTATTTTAGAACAACCGAAATTCGTGTCACGTTATATGGTAAAAAATGCTGCGAGGCGATGAAATTGGTGGGTAGTAACAGAATAAATATGTCCCGTTACACAGCTTGTCGTGAGATATTTTTTTATATTTTAATATCTTGTGACTGGAACAATTAATCCGAAATAATTAAATGTTTATGATACATACAGTATCATTCAGTGTTCAATTAAATATTAATAACAATTACGTTACAACAAGTACATCATTTTTTATATAAATTCTGACGAGGCAGGTTTTTAGATAGCCGATCAAAGAATGTTTTACCACTAAAAATTTAATTTCATCGTTAATAGTAACACTTTATCGATCAGTAGCCTTTTTTCTCATACTGGCCAATATTTCATTATCTATTATTGGGACATGTTTCCATTATAATATGAATTATACAATATTATATTAGGTAGACTGGAAAGGTGGAAAGTAATGTCGTTTCTTTTACATTAAATGCAAACAAATTTTTAATAAATTTCTATTTCTAATAAATTATGTAATCGCCCTCGTTATCAACAGCCTGTTGTCATCTAGTGTGCAAATTTTCAATGCCAAATCGATAAAAATCAACGAGCTGATGAGTGATAAACACGTATTTAAAATTGCAAAAACGACGTTACTTTTCGATCCACCTAATATAAATGTTCATCTGAAAACGATTTTAATAGATAAAATAAATATTGTATAATACTAATAGTATCAAAATAAAAAATATTATTGTGTGTAATCATAATTATGTCCAAGTGCTATCTGTCGGTATAGTGCTAAGAAAATCATACAAGAAAAAATCAATTGGTCCTTTTTCCATACTTTATCCCCTCGCGGCCCTATGTCGAGAAAATCATGCAAGACTGCAAAGGGTTAAAGAACCAATATATTTTGTTTCGTGGTCCAACAGTGAAATGCTGTGCCATGTCCGAAAAACAAAGGCATCGAGCCGACCGGTGTTTCCGAACGGGATGCAACGCAACTTCGTAACTTTTAAATTTCGTTCTACGTCAGGTAAATGACGAACGTCGACTGCGATGACCGATAGGCAGCCATTAATATTTTTGCGAACGTCGTTCCGCGGACACTCGCGATTCGTATTCATCTGTCACACCGCGTACAGGGGTAAAAGTGATTTCCTGTCGGTGATATGTCTCGACCGCGACATTACACAACCTCCGCCGTGTTCCGCGCTTCAATTTCGAACCGATCGACGAGTCGCCAATTAGCAAAATAAATCCCTTTTGTCCCAATCCGGTTGCTTGTTCGAGTCGTCGCGTATCGCGTGTCGCGTCGAAAATTCCATAAATTATTCCGAGCAATCGTGCTCTCTATGCCATCCTTGCGCACTCGTCATAACGAGCTCCTATAACGAATTCATTCTGTCGTCAAACATTCGAAGCGAAATCCCACCTAAATGCCGCATGGCTCGAAGATGGAAGCTTGCGACTTGGAGGGACCATTTGGAACATCCAGTTTGATCTCTTTCGTAATTAGAGAGGCTGAAACATATTATATTTATTTTGATAAACAACGAGTCGAAGTCTGATGGAAACTTTAAGAGACTGTAACGAGAGATTATATAACAGTATTATTTAACCACTCATTTAATCTTGATATTCGCATTCAATACCTTGCGCTATCGAAAACCTAACGCATACACACTTTTATAAGTTAGACAGCGAAAAATGGGACTTCTCTTGGATTGTTTACGTGACGCATGAAGCTTAATGAGGTTTAATAAGCTTCGTGTTTCATGCTTTGTGTATGCGAGAGATCAAACAATAGAAGCATATTCTAAATGAGGGCTAATCAACGTTTCATACGGTAGCTAAATAGTAGGTATTAACGAAAGTGAGATAATCATTTAATTCGTTTGAAATGTGCGACATTGTGAGAAATCTGTAAAGCGGTATGCAACCTTCTAGTTGCAAAGTATGTTGATAGATGGCATTTCTCCCCAAATATAGGTTTTATATTTACAAGCGCGGAAGCAATTAATAATTAAAAGACGAATTCGACGGGAAGTTTACCGTGAAACGCTCATCGCGCACCGCGACGCGGTTTATTAGATTCATTTATTCTGGTATTCTTTCCTTCTACTTTGAAGGACGCGACAAAAGAAGAACCGGCGACGGTAGTCTACCGAGAGTTTCCGGTAACGAAGTTTAAAAATGCGTCTCTAAGCCAGAGCTTTTCGCTCCTTCTTCTCCTTGTTCCGCAGCTTTTAAAAGGTCTAAAATATGGTGGAACTTTTTAAGCCACCGTCGACCACTATGAACGACCATCGCATTACGACTTTCACTCCCGTTCGTCTTCTTTCGGACCTCTTTTTAGGGCGAGTAAAATATTTCCCGAAAGTGGCCGAGGCTTTGCGTCGCGTGACTACTCTGAAGCTGAAACGAAGACGAACCGTTTACCGTAACAGAGAATTCATTATTCAGGGGCCGTTTTATGCTCGGTTAGTAACCAATAAAAAATAGAAACGATTCGTAAAACTTTTCGATGGCGAGCGTTCCAGTTTGCAAGGGTGTAGGCGAAACTATATTCGACTTGCGAAGGGTCATGCGATAGTCTATATCTTCGATGTTATATTTATTCTTACATCTAATGAAATTTCAGTCGCGTATTTTTCTAAGTTCGTAACCATTTCTTTATTGTTAATTTCAAAAAGAAGCCGAGATCGATTTAAAGACTTCCGTTCACCACGTTCTAACTACGTTAACGCATTCACCAATTTCTTTTTATTTCTTGCCCGAATTTTCTTTTTTTTTTTTACTGGTAAAGATTGGGCCATGGGCAAACCCGTTCGATGGAGAAGTACGCTCGCACATCTACCAGCAAGGATACACAACGAAGAGTAATCGAAGAATGTAGGTGGACATCGGTTTTCCGCGGTAGCTGCTCTATGAAATATTCAACGTATCCGCGGGCTACGTAGTTATGGCTTTGTACGTACAAAAATCAACGAACGAGACCCCAATGTTCGCGAAATCGATGCGTTACTTTTATTCGTCGTTCTCTCGTCCAGTCTCTAGATCGTTCTATCGACGTTGCTACATAGCTTGATAAAAATATACAACAATGGTAAAATGTCCGTGCTCTTTTTTAACACGCTAACAAGCGTTTTATAAAATGTACCACTTTATACGATTTTTTAAAGCGATACTATGGCGATTCAGAATATTAGGTCGTCCCACGAGTTTGTGCCATTTATTTTTCTGATACTCAAATTAATATGTGAAACATACCTGACGTAACTCGTTAATGGAGTGCCGTAAAATCTCGAATTAAGCCCAACAGTTTTTCCTCCATCCGCGAAGAATAAAACCAAGAGTTCGCAACGGCTCAGACCGAAAGTACCTTCAGGGCGTTGAAATCATCTTAATGAGATTGTCGCGAAGAGCGGCGACGAAAGGAACGCCCGTTAATAAAGGAACAGAAGGGCCCCGAGAGAGAGCATAACAAAGCCAAGCGCAGCATTACGCCGAATAAGTAAAAGGCTAATGACAACGAGTCGAATTGAAATAACAAACGGGCCTCAGGATCCGTCTAGAAGGTTTTAAAGAAAGAACGAATCGTAGGTACCGCTTTCCCCTCCGTATCCCTCGAACCACCCTTCCGATTCTAGCGACTTACCAACGTCGGGATATCTTGAAATTGCAAATTCTCGATGCTCCTTTTCGAATCTCAATAAGATACCGGTAAAGTCTGCCGATTCTGTCGTGTTGTACATACCCCCACGCGAAACGAGCAGAGTTCTTTAGCGGTTTCCGATGAAACCGTTTCCATGCAGCATAAATGGAACGACGTCCAACGAAAAACGGGGAAAATGAGATAAAAGAATACGCGCATCGCGGAAGGTCGTTTTAAATAATTTAGCGAGCACGTTGGAGTAGCTGTTTCGTTGATAACCGTAGGCATTTTTAATGCGCGTCGGTTATGCGATGCAACGGCGAGGTCATTTCGAAAAAGTATTTTCGAATACTTTGCGCTGGTAGGATTTTTTATTCAATTCTATTGTTTTATATTTTACCTGTAAAACGTGACTCTTTTGTCTTGTTCTTGAAAAAAGTCGTTTAGTTAATGTCTAGATCTTCTATACAAACATTGATTGCATACTTATTAGTGTATACTACTGTTATTTACCAACCAAGCTACCAGTCTGATTATTTTATACATTCATTATTTAACATACATGTAACGCTTTTAAATTTTGCTAAAAAAAATTGTAAAATAATTAAGACTTCAGATTGTCGCGAGTACCGTCGTTCCTATATACGCTCCTGGTAAACAGCGCCACCCATGAAAAGGGACGAGTAGAGGAACTTGAAGTCACCTAAACTCGTACCAACCAAGTTGTTGGATTGAACCAACGCCCTATGAATTACGTTACCTACGCTCGTGTAATAAAAGCAAACAGACGTGGTGGTTGTTTGGATGGAAATTTATCGAGATGACAGTCATGAACGCAATCGCGAGTGTTGTTTGTTTATCGTTGTTGTACATGGTGATAGGTAAGCAAAAGTTCTTGCAAGCAGCGATCTGGTGCATTGTTAAATAAAATACAGTGAAAATCGTGTTTGAGAGCTCGCGCGAACACCACGTTGGAAATGGAGGATATCTACTTGTTGAATTTCCAAATACAAGTCACTCTGTTAAAAAACACTGAAACTTTTTATTACAATTCTGATAGTTACAGTAACAAACTCGTGAAAACAGAATCCAAGTCACGCCATCGGTTCCGCGTGAATATTAGGTTATAATGATTAGTTTGTCCTCGATCAAAGGTTCCAGCTCAGTTCGAACAAATTTTAGGTACCGACGCGATTAGCTGCTATCAATGCAGCAGCGACACCGATCCTAAGGGTGAAGATGTATGTGGGGCTTACGAGAAATTTGACAAATCAAAGAATTTTGCCGTCGACTGCATGAGCGAAGAGTCTCATATGCCTGGCACGTTCTGCGTAAAAATAACGCATCAAAGTCCTCGTGGATTCATTTGTAAGTTTTCCCTTTCAAACATTGTGTTTCTTCTCGCTTTACGTTAAACCTGCGCCTACGTTTGTCCCTATTTTTTGAAAGCATGAATCGAAAATTATTCATCTTCGCTTTGGTAAGTTTATTGTTTGGAATGATTGTTAAAGGGGACGGTAGATGGCGACAGGTGATCCGACGATGTGCGTCCGTATCCAGTACCGGAGTCACTGGTGTTTGTAATTGGGGGGTTTACGAAAACGGGGTATATTGGGAAGAGTGTTCCTGCTCGGAGGATGCTTGTAACGAAGCAACAACATTACCCCCATTATCGATAACAATCCTGTTACTGATTGGTATTTCAACGATTATATTATCGTTACAATAAGTACCCAAGTTGAAGAGTATTATTACAGTCCAAACCACGCCGAGCAAAACTTAATACATTCGTTTACCTAATTTTACGCGCGTAAACGACACGTCCATTCGCTTGTAACAATAATTGACTATGCTGTTATCGATCGAAAGAATCTCAATCTCTTTAATCAAACATAACCGTGTCGAAGTTAGCGATTAGTATTTGTAACTTTATATGAAGACTACAAACAAGTGTAAATCGAACATAAGATAGTACATAATAATACAGGTCATCGCATGTATTAGACTGCAGTGCCAGAAGTAACGTAACGTTTCCGTCCATATTATTTTACAACTCATCTACTTAGTAAATGTATTTGCCTTATATTTAAAAAACGAAAATCTCGACTGATCTTAAAATTAATATTTGGGATAAATTAATCGAGCTTTCTAAAAAAAGAAGCAATGTTCAAGAGTAATCTTAAAAATGTATGTTCGAATCCGTCCATTACTTGTTACCTCTATACAAAAATTTACATTTTATATTACTTTATAATCGTAGTGTAAACTTTTGTAAATAAACATTTATTTCACGATATATTTTTAAGCCTGCGTTATGTTACGTTCCACTAATTAATCCGAATTTTAAGCGAAATAAACGGCTGCACCTAACGGTGCCCAACGTATATTTGAAGAATGAAATAGGAAGGACCTCGACATGATTTACAAGGATCCTAGGTGCCGGAAATTCAACGGTCGCCGGTTAATTATGCCAGGCGAGATTATTAAAGGTTTAGCGGATCCGAGACTGCGAAATATACAACGTCTCAGCTATTTAGGCCTTTTCATACATGCATATGTATTATGTTAGGATCTGTACCGACCCTTGTTACTTCAGGCGTTTCAATTAAGTCGTACCGTTAATCGTGGATTCGGTACTTAATCATTTTATATTCCAGCATTATTCGAAAGAGGTATGAATTAAACTAGAAAACTGAAAAGAACAATTGATTTTAAATATTCAACGAAAAAACAAGAAATTAAAATCTCAAATGCTTGTTTAATTAATAGCTCTACCGTGTAGTCATTTACGAAATAATATTAGGATAAAAGATAATCAGTTGGTGGTTCATGGTTCCACCGAGCTTAATTTCCGAGATAAGGGCAGCTCTTCGTCAGAGTTTTAGCCGTTATTACATCAAGTCACGTGTAATTAACTAGCACAAGATGGGAGAGCTCTTCGGGGATATTCTTCGTCGGTATGCTATTTACCATATTTGCGTTCCAACACAAATGTACAAATTTATGGAATCCTCTTATACTTACCTTTTTATTTCCGTCTATGAATCATTTTGTATTTCGTAATTGTAAATAATATTGAATGTAAACTGACATTCCCGTCAGTTCTTTTTTCCAAGGGATCGTTTAAAAATTACGTTACCCTCTCAGAGAATTGAAGGGAGGCATGAATTGTGACGTGCGAGGTAGCGTTTGAAAAGGGAAAAAAAGCGTAATAATATCGAAGAACATTTTTCAAATTTTTTAAGCATTATTACCATTATTTTATTATTGTAAAAGTTTGGTAGAATTTGCCTGCCGTATTAGAGACAATTGAAAACCATTCAATGATAGTATTATCAATTAGATAAGACTAAGTTGTGATTTGTTGGAAATTATATAGGTACTTAGTTTTGTAATCGTCGCGGGGAATCCTGCAATAAAATTGTTTGTATCTTTTATATACAAGAACAATCTGCGCATGCTCCGCTCTTTCATCTCACTTTATCATACGCGAGTACGACTATTCTTTTCTCTGGGAGATATCAAGTAATGATTTGAGAAGAGCGCAGAAGAGCGTGACAAAGTATCATAATAAGTTGGAAAGCGCGTGTTAATGTTTATTAAATAGAACGAATTATTTTTTAGGCGAATTTGAACTAAATTCAGAGAAACGATGAATGTTGCGGATGGGGTTGGATATTCACGATCGGAGGTATTTGTGCTTGTGGCAAGAGTATCCTTTGTTGCGGCCGTTGGATTTTTTAGTATGAAATGGATTATGAATCAATTGGATCCAACGAATAATGCAAAAAGAAAAGCTAAGAAAAAGGTTAATAATGTAGCATTTTATATATACGAAAATGTTTCCTTACATAACCTGTACAATTCATTGAATAGGAGAATAACCTTACTTTTTGCATGCTTTCCTCGTAAGTACGTAACGTTAAATATTTTTTAGGCCCGTGAACAGTTACGGAAACTGGCCAAAACGGATAATCTTTTATGGTCAGTGGACATGGACCAATTGACAGATTATGAAATGATGATAGCAAATCATATAGTGGATCCTACAGATATTCGAGTGTCATGGGAAAATATTGCAGGTCTTGAAAATGTTATTCAAGAACTTAAAGAAACAGTGATATTACCTATACAGAGGAAAGAGTTGTTTGAAGACTCTCAGTTAACCCAAGCACCAAAAGTATGCTTGAACAGTTATGAATAACAAAGTAATTTCTTCTTGTAACATAAATTTTGTTCATAGGGGATATTGTTACATGGTCCACCAGGTTGTGGTAAAACGATGATTGCTAAAGCAACCGCCAAAGAAACTAAAACATGCTTTATTAACTTAGATGTAAGCATTTTGACTGATAAATGGTACGGTGAAAGTCAAAAGTTAACTTCAGCAGTCTTTTCACTTGCTGTAAAGCTTCAACCATGCATCATCTTTATTGATGAGATCGGTTAGTTGTAAAGAAATGAATATAGACTTCTTTATAATACCTATGTTATAGGTATTATTAAGTACTTTTTATTCTTTTTGCACAGACTCATTCTTAAGAGCACGAAATTCACAAGATCATGAAGCAACTGCAATGATGAAAGCACAGTTTATGTCTCTTTGGGATGGATTAATTACGGATCCTTCTTGTACAGTAATAATAATGGGTGCTACCAATAGGCCACAGGACTTGGATAGAGCTATTCTTAGACGTATGCCAGCTACCTTTCACATTGGTTTACCGGTAAATAACATTTATGTGAAAGTTACATTATACGAATAATAAATATTTTTACATTTATTATATATGTTCAAATACTTTCTTTTTTTTTTTCAGAATGAGTCACAACGAATGCAAGTTTTGAAATTGATATTACAGCATGAACCAATAGCTGAAAATGTGGATATAGCAAAAATAGCAAAAATGACGGAAAATTTTTCTGGTTCAGATTTACAAGAACTTTGTAGGAATGCATCTGTTTATCGCGTTCGAGACTACTTACGCACTCATACACAGTTAATATTCAGTTCCAATAATTTATAAATACGTGTATTTTTTCAAAAAATTTGTTTTTCATTGATTCCTTTCATTGCAGAGATACATACATCAGTACTGACGATGAAGAATATCATGATGCTGTAAGACCTATTACTATGGAAGACCTTCTCACATCGTACAAGAAGATGAAAACGTCTAAGATACATACCGGTACTCTAGGTATTGCTAAATTAGAGTTAGATTAAAAAACAAAGGATAATTTTACGAATTAATAAAGTTTACATTTTTTAACGAAAAACCAGGAAAATATCATTTTATAACAACATTCTTTGTTCCGATATATTTAAATTGTTGTCTTTCTAGTTCACGAAAAATACTTAATTACTTTAAAAGTACGCCGATACGTAATTACCTATTTTAAATCCACCATTGCACGTGATTAAATTTATGTAATATACATGTAATATAAAATTGTAGCGTATGTTAATTAAAAAGGGAAAACGCGTACGTTTAATGTAATTCACAATGATACGAAACAATATAGAGAAACTACTTCTTTTAAAAATCTACCTCGATAGGTTTAATCAAAATTGAACAAAATCTTCTAGTACTTCTATTTCTTTTTTGTAATTTATTTCATGTTTCTTTGTAACCATTCGATACATCAAATAGTATGCTGGAAGTTTCTAAATGCGAGTGTAATTTATTTAAAATAACCTCCTCGTGCGTCATGTGTGTATGAGTGTGATGTTTTAAATGTAAATAAAAGAATTATTATTAAATAAATAATTATTATTCATCGAACACGTATTAATTCATTTCAATCCCTTCGTGTACATATCATTAAAAAAAATTAGGAACTAAATAAAAGCCCATTTTCGTGACAAACGCCTGACTCGCCATCTAGCGGCGACACCCCCGAAGCTACATTGCGTGAGTGCAAGAGAGACCGCACTAATGTGCAACAAGGACAGATCTATGCGCATCGTGTGAGAGAGAACGCAACAGTGTGCGACAAGGATAGATCAATGAGCGCGAGTGCGAGAGAGATCGCAACGGTGTACGACAAGGATGGCGGCTATAACAGCCATCTTGTCGGCACGCTGAACATATATTATAACATATGTTAATATTAATTTAAAGTATTTAATAACAATTCAAATCGTATCAAAAATGGCTCTTGAATGTTGCTACTGATTCAGACTTTATGTATGGTGTGTCAAAGTGTACAAATTTGTTGCATAAAGTTTAAAAACAATCAATTAATACGAGGACTAGCGATGTCGTGCATGTGACCACCTTGCAACAATGACTGATAATTACTCAACAGTAATTAAAATCGTACTGAAAATGATCCTTGAATGTAGATATCGATCTATACTTGACACCACGATTGCAAAAGTTCATAAATTATTTCTGGAAAGTTAAGAAATTAATGATAATATCAATCGGCGGCGTGATTTCAATAGTCGCTATCCTTGTCGCACATTAGTGCGTTCTCTCTCTCGGACTCACGCTGTTGAGCTTGAGGTGTTGGTCGCTAGATGGCATCACAATGTCCGTTCGTCCCACGCAACGCTAGATGGCGCCACAATTTTCTTTCATGAAAATGATGTATTAGTTTTAATGTATTGCTTTGTTATTTTATGCTACTGTTTTTTATGGATACGTTTAATTTATTGTTCCGTTTTTCTTTTCATATTGAGTTGTCCTTTCATAGTAATATTTTCCTGGACATAGTCGCAAACGACCAATGAGATTCATTCACAAGTCACGTGATTGTGTTACCAGACATCATCTTCTCGACAGTGATGGGCAAAACCCTAGGCTTCGAATAAATCTGAAGTTTGCCGATATGTTTATCTCTTTTCCTTATTTGGAAAATGTTCTAAAGAGGAAAGGAGATAGACATATCGGCAAACTTCAGATTTATTCGAAGCCTAGGGTTTTGCCCATCACTACTCGTTAGATAGACCATAATTTAGAGTATTCCTCACCGATAATGAGTAATCTACGTAATCATAATGAGCGCTCATTTCCTAATTTTATCCGTTATGTATATTTTGACGTATGTAGTTCCATTATGCTTATTGTTTATTGAATAGAGTAACGTATACATGAAATCTGACATGACAGTCTTCGATATTATGTACTTTTATAATTAGATAAGTTAAATTTTATGGTAGATAGATCGCAAAACGTATCGTCGTTGAGTAGTCTTTGAACTTTTATAAGATATCTAGTTTCGAAAGTACTCTTCCTAGAAATTTCGATTGGTCGATTTAGAGAGAAACAAGTCCTTCGACCAATGGATGAGTACAAAGGAAGAGATCATTAAAAATGTTTGATTACGCGAAAGAAGTTACATCGATTGCAGAATTCGCGAGGAAGGAAGCTTAATCCTTATGATTCGGCGCGAACAATTGGGTAAATGAAAAGAAGAACGAATAATTATGGGGAAAAAGTAGACGCATGCGCAGGAAAAGTGGTACTAACAGAGCGTCTAAGTTAGCAGCGGAAGTTTTCGGGAATGAAACTTCTAGGACGAAGCCTCCGCGAGCCTCTACTCTTTTCCTCCTGCTCCTTTTGAGCGGTAAGCTACGGCTTTAAAGTCGGTGGCACACCGTGAACAGACGAGAAGAGAGAAGAATATTTTCCCAGGAGCGGAGGTAAACGCGGCAACCTAAACGACGACAGAAAAAAAGAGGCGCAATCGAGCGCGGCACGAACGCGTCATTGTGAATGGCACTGCTAGTGACAAAGGTGGCTGCGAGAGACTTTCGATTTCATATCGGATGTAAACTGTGCTCGAAATGGATGTTACAAAGAGTACTTCCGTTCGCTAATTAAGCGTGACTCTTTGTCCATTTTTCCGTTCGGTTTCACTTTGTTGGCTACTCAACGAAGAAATGCGAGCAGACGCGAAAAGAAGAACGACGGCAGCGGCCGGATTCCGGTACGATCGACCGTAAAATTCTGCAATAGAGCATCGTGGCGTTCGTTCGCAGAGTGGACTGTTCTCTGCAACACCTGCGGTGCATGATCCTATATCCTATGCATTGTTGGTGAGTGTGCGTGTCGCGATATCCGTATAACGATATACCTATTGTACGTACTACACTTTTATCTACTTTGTTAAACCGAAGGGAGCATCATAGAGATTGCTATTGTTCCTTCACGAGCGCATATGTGAATGTGTATGCGCGTTCGATGCATCTGTACGAATCGGGTATATACTCGAAAACCACTGTACCTTCGTGGTAGAACACGGATCAAAGCTCGTGCTAATACTTTGACACGATGACACGATGTGCTACCGAAACGTGATCCTACTGTGAATGGAGCTCTTTAAACGAGTTCACCTCTCGTCTCGAGTGATTAAAAGGATCTTGTTGATCGCAAGGAAGCTTGAAAAAAGTGAACCTATGGATCTCCTGGGAAATCTTCCTCGATGTTAATATTATTTCTTAGAAATTCACCGTAACTGAGAGTGCCGATATATCACGGTTGAACATGCTCCGAAAGTACTGGGCTAAATATCACGTTATACGCGAGAAAAGATTGCTTTTTTACTTTTCAAAACTAGTATGATGTCTCGAACGATTTCTTTCAAGTCTCGATGATATCCTCCGTGAACGACATGTGAACTCTTGATTAAGGAGAGCGCGAATGGTGTATTAGTGAAACTGGCATGAAAATGTACCGTGGTGTTAAGTGGCCTTTGTGATATTGCGAACGGTGCTTAACCTAACTTTTCGTCGACGCTTCTACACGGCGTTTTCTTGCGAGTAATGTTCTTTCGATATCGAACTCGTAACCAAGTGAACACGAATCGCGTAAACTTTCGTTTGTTTCTTTTTCATTTTGTTCTCTTTCATCCAGCGAATGTGATTCTTTCGTACCGCTTTTATACATGTTGTTAACTTATCGTAGAACACGAGACTCCGTGTAATCGTAATTTTACAAAGCACTGAAGATGTTTTCTCTTTAATATTTCATTTTTAGTTTGCTGTTGTACGTTACAGATATCGATTTCACAGTATTAACGCGAACGTGTTTCCGTGTAATACGTTTAATGTTTACGTTCAAATCGAAGTGTACGTTTATTTTCGTTTTTTTTCCTTCACCTTGATCGTGATATTCCTACCTCTTGCCAGTGTATGAGTATAACGTGTAACGAATTCATTGATAGTTGTTATATAGATACGGGTCAAATGTATCAATGTACATACATGTGTAACATTAATTGCAATTAGTGACAGAGTACCCATCTTATTTTATTATTTTTCTTTAGCCATGATTTTGGGTACACTTGTTATCCGATTATCAATATATTTTGCATGAAAGACTGGTTCTAACAATGTGGTAAACGTGTTTCTTTACCTTGTGTTTCTGAAGCTTCCATGAAAATCTATAATTATCGATCATCGGACAGAAACTCTTACATTGTGTCCATCTGTGTATTGTGCCGTGCAGTGTGCTCATTCTTTATGAAGTTTCACATTTGTAAGAATCACATATTAATTGTTGAGTCGAACTGGTGATGGTCATGGTGATATTAATCCTAAATTATAATCGTGCGGTAAACTATCGGGAAAACAATTAAGAACTTGGTGAAATGGATAACAGAAGGCACACATGCTCTGGGAATTGATGGGTATATGCTTTTCCTGCAGGAGACCTACAGGCAGCAGGATAAACAAAATATCAGAGCATATCTCATCGGTAACACCCCTCCATGTTTGTCTGGAGGAGCGAAGACAACCGGAACTGGGCTCTTGTGAAGCCTCTGCTCGTAAGCCACAGGTAACTTGAATGATTTTGTTCCTGAAACTTCAGATGAAAGTTCGAGTAATTGGAAGTTAAATACCTTATTCTATTCAGGCTAAAAAGTTATTTGAAAAGCAGGAAGCAGAAGAAGCGGAGACTGAATTTTTTCGAGTCGAGGAAGATTTGAAACGCACTCAGCCGAGCATGGCTAACACCATTAGTAACATGAAGATGACTAACCGTATCAAGGGGTTAGTAAGCAAACGTCGCAAGCGTTTCACAGAAGATGGTTTTAATCTTGATCTCACATGTATCCTTTTTATTGTAATCGTCGATGCTTATATCCATTTTCTACTTTTCATCTTTTAAAACATTCCATATAATTTGTCCATTTATCGTTAATTTATCATCGACGCAGCTATATTATTTCGTTGGTATTGTTCCTTAATTGCACGTATATTATTAACAGATATAAGGGATAATTTAATAGCAATGGGTTTCCCAGCTGAAAAATTAGAAGGAGTATATAGGAATCACATAGACGATGTTGTTAAGCTATTGGAATCTAGACACAAAGACCATTATAAAATTTATAATCTGTAAGTTCCAAGCAATCTACGATCATTACACGCTACAAATAAACAGAGAAAATTTCAAACCATATCGTCTTTTAGATGTTCGGAAAGGTCGTACGATTTTAAGAAATTTAAGCAAAGAGTAGCTACTTACGCATTCGATGATCATAATCCACCGATGTTAGATCAGATCAAACCATTTTGCGAAGACGTGCATCAGTGGCTCTCCCAGCACCAAGAAAACATAGCCGTAGTTCATTGTAAAGCGGGCAAAGGTCGGACAGGCGTAATGGTTTGTTGTTACCTTCTTCACACAAAACAATTTCCCACTGCCACGGAAGCCCTTAATTATTACGGAACTAAAAGAACACATGATAGGTAATTCTAAGAAGTGTTCGCTACATTCGTTGTCGGACGAATTTACTCATAATTTTATCGATGATATTTCTCATTCAGGAAGGGGGTAACAATACCTTCTCAGAGGAGGTACGTGGATTATTATGCTACTCTTGTCCAAGAAGGATTGAATTATCAACCGGTCACACTGTTATTACGAAAAATACAATTAGACCCAGCACCTATTTTTCACGGAGGTCAAGGATGTAAGAATAATTAAATGTGAAACAAGCATTCAGAGTAATATGCAGGATGATGAATACATTTTTTTTTTAGATTTACATTGTGTAATATCTGAATCCAAAAAGAGGATATTTAGTTCGGATATAGTGGAAGTGCGAAAAGGAAACCACACTGTGAGCATCGTTCTGAAAAATAGCGTCGCGTTGACAGGAGATATACGAGTGGATTTCTTTAACAGACCAAAAATGAAGCGGAAGGTAATTATGTTTATTTTAATAAAAATCGTTGCGATATAACTGAAATCGATTTCTTTGTTCCACGCGTAGGAGAAATTGTTTCATTTTTGGTTCAATACATTCTTCGTGCGGGACTACTTAACGCCAGAATACGATAACGGAGAGTTACCAGTCGAACGTTCAGCAAGGGCATTGAGTTGCGATGGTACAACTATGGAATTACCAATGGTCGTGTCACAGATGAAGGCAAGAGCAGGATCGCTGGCTAGTCTTGGACCTATGCCACCTACTCTCGTTTTAAGTATAGATAAATGGGGCTTGGATGATGCGCATAAGGATAAACACCATAAAGCGTACAGTGCAGATTTTAAAGTGAGTACATTTTTTTCTTCCTCGAAATGAACGACAACTATCTTAATCATGAACGGGGATGACTCTTTGTCAAAGACTCATCATTTCAGTTGCGCCAGATATTTTAATTTGAGTTCGCTCGAATGTTACAGGTTAGCTTATTTATGCACCAAGTGGGTGGTAGTATATCGCAAACCGTGCCAGCGACAGCGAACAGGGCGGGAGAAGGTATACAAATAGGAATGGGAGGACAAGAAACTCCCAGTGAATCCAGCGAAGCGGATAGCAGTGAATGCGACACAACCGGAGATACAACCGGAGATGAAGATGGGGAATCTGGTGAGTCCTGTGCATCTCTGGTGGTGAATCACCATCCCCTTACACATAGCAGTAGCCGTACACACGTTAGTACCCACCAAAGAGCTAGTCTCAGAGAAACTGCAAAGGGTTTGCTCTCGCGAGGGGATAAAAGTAGAAATAGTCATCGACAAAGCACTAGTAATGTGAAATGTTCTTCGGCACTCGTACGTTCAGCCACGTTAGATACATAGTATATTTACCTTTGTACTTAAAAAGTTGAGTTCTCTGAACTGGCATTCAAGCTTTACAGATTTATATAAAAAGTAAAACACTCCGAACTATTTAGCTTCTCTTTGTTATGCCAGCATGAAAACACTACTAAGCATTCGGTCAGTTTAGATGCATTAATGTTATTTTTATCATTTGAAAAGTAGATTTTTAGCGAGTTTTTAAAATTACGTTATAACGTCGAAGCTAGTTGAAAGATCTATTTCTGTTTAACAAAAGATTTTTACACTGACACGCTGTATATTAAATATGGCCATTAAATGTTCCGAATGAAAAACAATCGTAAGATAAGATGTTAAATGTTTCTTTAGTAGTGTATTTGCCACAAGTAATTTATTCTTTTTCAAAATATTAAGGTATTCGAGTACGCGGCTAGTTATGATTTTAAACTGGTTACGATTGTATTCGGTATTTATTAGCAATTATCGAGAACTGTACCTATTCTTCGACCCTTCTTTACGTTCTATCTTTCATTCAACTTTCCAACTATTTTGCTTTGTTGACTGTTAACTATTATTGCCCGGAATAGTTGAATTTAATATTAGATAAGAAAAATCGTAGCGTTCGAAATCGAGGTATATCGTCATTCAGGGTTAACGCAATTTTATAATAAACAACGTACCATAGTACGGACCTTAGTATTTGTTTTGAAATTGTATGACAGAGCCAATTTGTAGAGTGAACTTTGACAAACGTAATAGCTACGGGGACAAATGACGCGATAATTTGTACTTGTATCGATTTCACCGTTTGTGTTTGTGTTAATTGTGAAGAGAGTTGAGACGTACGAGTTAAGTATGTCCCGATTGCCTTACTCTTTGTGATCGTTAACTATTTGGAAGTAGCAAAGCTAACTTGCGTAGATTTGTGTGCGAACGTACGATTGTGGTCGAAGCTTGTAAGATAATGTTTACCTGTACAGAAAATTTCATTCTTTCGATTTTGTAACGAAAATATGTTAAACACGAACAGGCTGTGCAATTTTTCTAAACTCTTGTTTCTTGATGTCTCGGTAAATGCGATTCTCGCATCGGCGTCAAGTTATATTCTATTTCAAATAGATTATCGTATACTGTAGAATAAAGTATCGCGACGAGAAAGTAGCATCCATTCATGGGAAATTCGAAAAATAACCGACTCGGTTTACGTTGGATTAAGAAAATGTTCACGTTGTACCGGCAGCGCGTAATTTTAGAATCATAAATTATTCGCTTCCGTTCTGTTTCTTTTTCTCTGGTTTTGCAAAAGTAATTCCTGGTACTCGCGGTAAAAGTAGCATAAAATTTCCATCGAATGTACACGATGATACGTACACCGAGCGATACCGTTAAAATTCCGTTTTAAAGAAGCGGTCTTAAAACTGACATTTTGCGGGTGTTCGATCGATGTATGTAACCGTTACACTTTTGTTTCTTTTCATTTGGCATTGGAAATCGATTCAGAAATTCGTTCATTTATCGCAGCAGCTATTCGTGATTTCTCGAAACAGGCTTTCTAATAACTTAACGAAAATAAAACTGAGGCATAGATCGCGAAAGAAGGAAACAAAATATGCGAAATAATGCTTCTCGAGCAGACGATTAGCAATCTTAACTTTGTTGTGAACATTGTTACGACGCGAGTATATATACTGGTAAATAATCGCAACCTGACGATAAGTAAATTAGGGTACGAGGTCGTTATTGTTTAAAACACGACAAATGCTTTCACATAAATCCGCTCCTTTTGCGAGTGGTTATTCGTTCTCTCTCGTATGGTATTGCCTCTTTGTCGATCAATTTGTTCACACCGAAGGTACAACGATTACGCATCAACGCGTAAAGATAAAGATTAGTGTTCTTTTTTTTTTTTTTTTCCTGTAGAGTAACTTTTAATGACGACGACGACATTCTCGCTTTATTTCCGTTAGAGTTTTAAAGCAAAGACACGACCAGAAATTACTTTATACTCGTAAAAAAGAAAAACTTTAATTTATCCTTCCACGTGTAATCTGCTCGTTCGAACGTGTGATAATTTGCAATTTTTATAAGAATAAAGCGGAAGGATCACGAACGTTTTTCATAGAAATCGTGTGATTATTGTTAATGTTGTAATTACGTTGGCGGATGAAAGGCGTGACAGAGTTATGAATTTCCAAACGATAAAGAACTTTTATTACGATCGATTAGTGGATACATCTCTGAAGCCTTTTAATACAGCGTTACAATTTCGTACGTACTAGATTTGTAAATATTATAGTTAGTATTAAAGTAATTGGGAAATTTACGAAAACACAGGGGCTAGATGTTCAGATACTCGTTGAAAATTGTATCGTTTTATCGATTGGTTTATTTCTTAGATCTTTTACCGTCGTAGATTGTAGTACTTGAATGAGCGTAATAGTACTCTTTGATTTGAACGTGTAGTGCATGAGTAAGGAAATTTTGTATAGGATTCTGACAATTCGTTGTACACGTTAATGACATTTTCGACACGATCTACTCTTTCGTCATACTGTTTTAGGCATACCGAAAACGAATATCAAAGCCCCTAAACGTTTTAATTTTACTCTGATTTCTCGTATCGTTGCATGTTAATAGTTAATAATCGTAGTTTTCAGACCTTTTGTAACGTCTGAAATATGTGAAATTGATACACACAGCATCCCTATTATGTATTGTGTAACGATTATTTTGTGATACTATTATACTTATGATTATTAATTGTATCGTTGTTATATCCTTATTCTTATTCATTAATTATTCTTATTAATTATTATGACTATCATTATTATTATTATTATTATTATTATTATTATTATTACTATTACTATTGTCGCTAATAAAGTGTTAGCGGTTTTTAAACATAGTCTTATCTTATAAATATTCCTGTAACAAATATCTTTAAGGACACACAGGCACACACACACATACATTCACACGAGCGCATACACACACATATATATATATGCAATACAATAACAAAATTGTACAATTTGCAATATCTTCTACTTACGTCTTCCGATTCTCTGTAAAACGTATACTTCGATTTCCGACTATCGTCGTTGAACCATTTTGGATTTCTTTTTAGCATTCACTCGCCAGTTTCCTTGAACCTTACTTGCATCTACAAACTTCTCTCCTTTTCCATCGCTTATTGGCAAGGAAGCTCGCACATAGTTTGTAACGTCTTCTTAAATGTAGTTTTCGACTTCTGGTGATTGAGAGCATGGTCGACCAGCGAAGCATTCGAATCCTCAGATATCATTGAAATTTTCAATGCGTCTGAATAGTTAGCATTTTCTCCTTCTAATTACAAAGATGTAGTTGTACATATAACAGAATTGCGGTGACCTTGATAGCTTTAATGTTAACCACAGGCTTTCAGTCCAATCAATGACTCGAATGCAGCGCAGTTGTCCCATCGTTGGATCGAATGCCGATCGAACGACTTTAGTCGCTTTATACGCTTCGTAGAAACTGCCACCCCGCACGACTATTTTCTTCCACAGTTTGAGTCAGCTTCGTGTAGAGTTGCCAACACGAGTACGAATAGAGGATATTATGAACCTCCAGCTGTGTTACTTGCACCATACTTCTTTCGTATATATTTGAGAATCAATTTCAATGAAAATTCTTATTGTATTATCTTCAACATTGTATTCGTTCACATTTGTATCGATCAATTTTTATGCTAAGATGACTACAATCCAGGTAGTCGAATCGCTTGCATCACAGATTGAATTTTTATTTATATACACCATCAAGATTTCATTGATTATAATTGATTTTGTAAACCCTCTGTAATTTCACGTGACTCTGTCGTCACATTTCTATCATGTACACCTTTGATTCTATCATCAATATATAACTGTTGATTGGTGGTTGTAAGTAACACAATGGAATATAAAAAAAAACACCCTCTACCAGAGTGAGTATAGACGAACAAATATATAGATGACTCTTAAATGTATCAGCAACAAAGTCCAAACACAAATGGCTCGAAAAGTGGTATCAGTTTTTTCTGAAAGAGTTGGCAACCCTACACCGTTTCGAGTATCCTTCGTTCTTCTCGACGTACCGTGGATTGCACTATTTGGATGTAGTTTAATCGGTGCATCAGCTTTGTATTTTCTTTCGCATGCGCAAGTGTAAAATCAGTGTTGAACGTACTCGAACTGTACACGGTGGGGGTACGAGTGTTCGAGCAGTCCATTTTCCGCGTTTATCACTGCCCAAAACGGGTGATAAAGCGTGAAGATTTCAAGCCGAACGAGTTGCGAGATAAAGAGAACGACAGAGAATCGAACGATTTTGATGTTATATTTGCATGAAAACGGCTAGCAAGGAGGTACGACGAAGTGAGACGTTTGTACGAATGAGAACTTCACTTTGCCCTCCACCGCATAGATATTATAGTAATCGAGATATAAAACAAGCTATATGCGATAACTGACCAATTGTGTCTGTGTGTCTGTTCACCCCCTAGTGGACATGGACCAGCGTGTCGGCCGGTACCGCCTTCTCTCGAACGGAGGAACGATAGACGTTTTGTGAGTTCATCGTCGATCATCCTGATACACCTTTCGACTGCGGTGTCGACCGTATAGTCTTTATCGTTAAGTCGTTCGGACTTTACGTTCGATACGACGATACATAGAATGTTGTTAAATGGCGTGTAATAGACCCGACGAGCCAAAGAAACGATGCTCCGTAATCAACGAAAGTAGAATACAACTCCCCGACTTGACGAATCGTCACCAAATCATTCCCTTTCTCCAAAGATGTACTTGGTGGAAGAAATGTAGCGAGGTCGCGAAAACTACCGCAAACAAGGACTAGCAAAAGTATCGAAGCACAAACTGTAGCGATGGGAAATAAGAACGACAACTCGAGAGCGACCCCCTGTAGCCAACAGCAAGAATATCGTTTAAGGGTGTATGTAGTCCGCCTTCAGAAATTCTATAAAATGAAAATTATTTGTAAATTTGCCTCGATACTGTGGAACGTCGTTGATAGACATTTTATCGAATCACGCTAATTTTTGCATATGAATATTTTGCGTATGCAATAGTTAAAGATACAAATTGTTCGAGCTATCATTGTAACAAAAAAACTACCCCTACGGTGATTTTTATTTAACTGTGTTACTTCTAGATATTTTAAGTACTTTTACAAGGGCATATTTGTAAGACCTATACGAAAATGCAAGGAACGAATTTTTCCAAAAAGCTGGACTGAAACACCCGTTCTGTTACTATATTTGTTCCGCCAATTGTACATCGTTTGCGTCACGAATTTCCGTTTGAACCAGAGCTTCTTCTTAAAACAATTGTCACACGTATTTCTCTCAACATTTTTCACTCCTCGCTCCCTCTACTCTGCTGAATAGCTCTCTTCCTTCCCTTCTTCTTCGTTTTTTCCCTCAGCGGGCAAATTTCTGCTTCGTCGCACATATATGTACCGTATTGGTTTCGGAGCATGCCAAAACCATTTATCTGTTACGCGGCGATTCACCCGGACGACTCTTACGTCGATCATTCGATTCCAAAAAACATTTGACGTTCGTGTTTTTTTTCTCCCTTTCTTAAATTTCAAAGTTCAAAGGTCGCATCGTCCCCAAGAATCATCGTTACATAGGTAGTCATCCGGGTACGTCGCGTCTTCGAATTTTATTAGAATTCATGTATATACACACACACACACACACACTCGTATGGATATAAATATAAATGGAAGCTTTTCAAGAGCGAACGAAAATTTTTATATTCACGACCGACGAGCTCGTAAATTCTTGGAACGCGGTGAATTCGATACGAAAAACGATCGACAGAGATGAGCAGAATTTTTGGTTAGAAAAACCTTGACAAGTTTTGAGTATTAAATAAAAGTCGAAGAACTGTTTCGAATAGAAACTTGTTTAACCGTTTGTGTCCCAAGCAGCGCGATCGCGCTGTTGAGATTTTATGTCGGGAAAACCCACTACTCATTCAGTGAATGACGATTCTTCGACAGTGTTTTTTCAATACCCTCTGGGACTCAAACGGTTAATAAAAGGAATGTGCTACGCGCCACTGTTCTCCAAATTAGGAGTTGCAGAAAAAATGTAGTGGTAGATTTATAATCAACCATCGTGATTTAATAATTACAGGAATACCATTTTAAAAAAGCGCTTATTTTAGAAATACGTTCGTCTGTTTATTCGCAGAAAAATTGTATCCATTTTTGGCTCTCAGGTGTTCATCGATTTTCAAAAGGAAAGATGGGGATATCGAAATCACCAAAGAGAAATTACAAGCTCATCGTTTTAACGATAACGTGTATAGCACGCTCTATGTAACGCTTGTCCTATATTTTGCCGATGGATCGAAGACGATCGATGGTTATTCCCGCGACGTTAAAGTTTAGCCGTGTTTAACGCGAACGCAGAACATTAACCGGTGTCTCTCGACGAGCAATTGCGTTTGGCTGTAGGGTGACGAAAAAACTATGTTTGTATAGATTATCGATCCAGATGGAAATAACGCTGTGTAAAAAGAAGCAAGACTATTTTCGTAACATTAATAAATTGTAAGTCAATAACGACGACGACGATAACAACAAGAACAAGAACAACAATAATAATATTAATGAACAGTAACGATAATGATAGCGATAACGATATTGGTAATGATAATGATAATGGTAATGATAATGGTAAATACCTAGAAGGAGGAATGGAGTTAACGCCACTTTTCGTTCATCGCACTTTTGCGTTAGAAATTTGCTTCCTCCGTTAAAAAAAAAAAATAAAAACGGTCGGATCGATCGGAACGATTCGCTAACGCTGTAAATAAATATTTAGAGTTTAGAGGAACGAATCGATTCGGCGGGACTCGCTCCTTTTATTCGCCATTCTCGAAATTGCGCACTTCGAGTATCACGGTTCGACTCATCGAAAGATAAAGAACTTTTGATTCGTTATTCGTCGTTATTATAGGTCGTACTTAGGATTATTTAAATCGAAGAAACCTCACCAGTCCTGTCGACGATGTTTTGCGCCACTACTTTAGCCGGAATATGCTTCCAGAAAATTTTTAAAAATGTCGATGTTTTTGACTCCGAAAAAAAAAAATACTTTCTTAATACTCGGATGAAAAGTCGATCGGAGGATACAAAAGAGTTTCGAGAGTGCGAAGAAGAATCGTTTCCGACGCCGTCCTTCCTGACGTACCCACGTACTTCGCGACACGACAGCCTCACTAACTCGTTCACGTTTCTTCATCCTTCACGATCGTTTGCAATCTTCCCTTCGTCTTATAGCACGCGTTGACAACCGGAGAGGGTTAAGATTCTCATCTGAATAAAAATTTGAACAAACGACCTCTTCTTGTCGAATAAAAGTTCAGTTCGAAGTTTGCATTTTTGGAACGCTTTATTCTATAATTTAAATCATAAATGTTACGTTCTAAATGACCATTCTACATTCACATTATAGAATGAAACTGTTCAGTCGAATAAATGTCACGAATAAATCCGTATAGGTTGGTCTTGTTCATTAACCGTTATTCGGATAAGATTACGCCCATCTTCGCTGACAACGCGTTCTATTTAGCGAAGTAAACGTTAGAAGAAAACTACAAGAGCGTGCGATGTTCCTAGAGAAAGCGGAAACGAGAGTATGAAAAGAATGCTTGTCGAGCCTGATCCAAGCAAGTACATGTAACGTGCAGTGGCAAGCATATAATGCGACCAGTATTTTTTACGATATAAGTGAAATTATTTTTAATTCATAACTTTAGGATACTTGGAATATTTTATAATCTTTGAATTGTCGTTAGGAGCGTTAGGAGACATTTGCTCGCATAACGTTAAACTGAAAATAAGCGG